GTCCCCAAAATATAAGCTGTCTAAATAGAGGCCTGACTTTGAAGCTCCCTGCCTTCTACACTGGCTCAGGCTGCTCTGTCTTTCAGTCCAATGTTTTACACATTAGTAGCAAGAGAGCTGTGCTAACAGGTGCTGTTGATCCTAGAATCTAAGATTCTGGAGCACTGGAGTCTCTCTGGCTCTTGTGGCTCTCCACCTGTACACACTGTGGTTCCTTAAAATGTCCTTGGGTTCCTTCCTATCTGCAGGAGGATGCAGTGTGTGGCTTCTGTCCCTGGCTGGGCATATCCTAGAGGGCTTCCTGCCACACTTGCCTTGTCTTTGCCGGCTGCTCTGTGGACAGAATGATTCAAGGAACTCTGGACCCTCTCTCTCTGTGGATTCAGTATACACAGTGGTATGTTAAATGCTCTGAAAGTCCTGAAGAATGGAACTTTTACTCACACTGGTTTCCCCAAGAACCCTTTTCTCATGCTATTCATGTCTCAGGATATACTTCTGGTGGTGCCAGAGTAGCTAACTGCAGGTATGTGATCGTAGCAACACAGTCCAAAAAAGAAACAAAGGTTAATAATGACTTTCTCAAATATGCTAATGAAAATCCTTTATTTTAAATTTGGGATTTGAGGATTCTATTAATTTATAACTTGGACAAGCATTAAGGATGAAGCAAATATGAATCTGGACATCATCAGCTTTCAAAAATGCCACTCTACTTAGCAATTCAGAGACAGTAAACTTTCTATTATCAGTATCACAGTTCATATTAAGACTGTATAGTTAAAAACCACTGTTTAAAGAAAGTAACTGCCTAACTCAGTCCATCATGAGACTCTGGTGAGACCTGGCATTTAAAAACATCAAGTCCAAGCACGATATATATAATTTTTTTAAAGGAAAGAAACATACCTGACTGTTACTGCAGAACTGTTTGACTACTTACTCTGTTTTGTGGGAAGTCATTTTGTTTTGTAGCCTTTGAAAGGTGGGGGGCAGGAAAAGGAAAGATTCCAAATGAGGTTGATAGCTCTAAGGCTATTTCCCTTGGTTTGGAGGCCACCTGGGTTGTTTGGAGCCTCCTTTCCTGACTCCTGCTTCAGGGTGGCTCCCTCTCGTGAGCAGCCGCCTCCCACAGCTCATCTCAGACCCACAGTATCAAAGGCAGTGGAGGCCAGAACCCAGAGCGCCCTTCTAGTTTCACAGGCCTCCTTGCTCTATCTCTCCCTGCAGAAGCTTATCAGGCAGGGCCAGGACATATGCAGAACTGTGCCTTCCGCCTCGGCCACAGCCTTCCCGCTCAGCTTACTTTGGGCTCCTGCCTGCTTTAGCTCATCTTGGAGCAACCATTGCCAAACATGTATTAAATGTCCATGGAGCGCCAGGGACTCAAGGACCAGGCACTGTAGATATGGCTGATGTACCCCAACAACCCCTGACTCTAGCGAGGATTTGGCCCATATTAAACTCCACTTCATCCCTGACTCCCTGGTTCCTGGTGGAGGCAGGCCTTCTTTCTCATTCTAGAGGCCTAAATTTTAACCCAACAAATCTCTTCATTTATAGTATAAATTACACAGCTTGTGTTAATGCTAACAGTTTATACCATATCCACTGCAGAAGACTGTTGGCAAACTTGTGGGATTGAACTAGCTTTAAGAATAAAATAATTCATATTGTATTCCCTCAGGCAGGCAATTGCTATCCTTTCCCTTTAGACAGTGGGACTCAGATACCGACTACCTCAAAGGCTGTAAGTCCTAGGTAGAATCAGGTTAGCAGGTCCCTGGCCCCTCCTCCCAGGTGTATGATATTTAATACAAGGTGACACGGACCTGAGTTCAAACCTGATTCTACTAATTACTTAGCTGTGTGATGTTGGCCAACTTAGTTAACCTTTCCGAGTCATGATCTCATCTAGAAAATAAGAACAAAACTATCTACCTCTAAGAACGGTCATGAATATTAAATGAGAGAAAACCAATATTTAGCATCTAGAGAGTCAACAAAAGCATCAATCTTTTCGGTGCCTACTCTGCAACAGGCACTGTTCTAAGTGCACTGTAACTCATTTAATTCTCAGAATAATTTTATGCCCATTAATAAAATGAAGTACACCGGCTAGGTAATTTGCTCAGAGACGTCATAATCTTGGGGCTTTTCCCACCTTTCTTACTCCACACAGGTGCTGACTTTCACACAGGACTGGCCATTCAGCCATGTGCATCTTGGTGGTTGAATTGCATTTGCCTGTTTAGATGTGTTCCTGACTGTGTAACTTTGGATAAGTCATCATAACTGATCTGTCCTCAGTTTTCACACCTGTAAAATGGAGATATTACCCGTTCCTTCTTCATAAGAGTGATTATTAAAACAAAAGAGTTAATTAAGGAAAAGGGCTGAGAACAGTGCTTAGTACTTAAGATAGGTTCCACGCAGGAAATACCTTTACCCCCCAAAATCAAAGAGTGTGACAAAGTAGGAGCATTCCTGGGCTGCAGTAAAGATTGTGGGGCTGAGTGACTTCAGTAGTTTCAAATGACGATACTTACTCACTAGCAAACTTAGTACATTTAAAGTTTTCAATTCTTATTCAATCAATGAAAAAACAGGTTGACAGGATTCTGGCTAGACAGACATTAGGCCAGTCCTAAGTAAAATCAGATTGAAAGCAAGAATTTTAACAATAAAAAGCCCAAAAAAACCCATTAGAGCAGTCTCCCTTCTTCTTGGATGTTTTTCGGGTTATGAATTATACCCACTGGATAAATGCTAAAGCGAAGAGCTTATGAAAAATTTATGACCTGGTAAAAATCTTTGGGCAGTATAGGTTAAAACAACTTAAGTCCCAATGCTATTGAATACCATGAATTTTAGAAATGAAAAAGGGCAGCTTTTGTGAACATGTTGGACACATAAAACACATTAAAGAAAGGGCTGGAAAGCAGCGAGGATAGACGAGCTCATGCGAGCACTTCTGCAATAAATTTTATGGCTTTGTATTTACTCATCTTGCACCACATTTAAATTTACAATAAAAAGCAAAAGAAAAATGTGCAACACTCATTACTCTAGCCATCTTTACATGTTCCATTGAGATACAAAACAGAATTCACTGCTCAGATTTTGAGGGAAGGAGGAGCTCATCTTATTTCATGTCTGTAGCTGCTGCCACAGCCACAGCACCATGTTCCAATCATGGAATTCATAATGTAAATCTCTTGCAGATGATACCACTGGAAAACAGAAACTGACGTGGATTCAGAAATGCTCCCAAATTTCTCCCCTAAAATTCTTATCGGGAAGCCCAAAGGTTAGTACTAAGCATTTTATTCAGTGTGTGAAGCCTACTGGGAAACCTACGTTTAGATTAATGAAGAACTTTCAACCTGGTTCTTCGACTATTAGTCTTTATTACCTATTTCATGTGACAAAACTAAACACTTCATAATTGCTCCAGCTCAAGTGTGTTTTAATCCACTCTGAAAGGGGTTTGTCTCACACACACACACACACACACACACACACACACACACACACACACACAGCTTATTCTTAACTGCCAATAAGAGCTCGTAGAAATGTCTGATGGTATCAAAGAGAAGATTTCTGGAACTGTCCAGACAAGAGAAGCTGCATTTTCGGTTGTTAGATGAAAAATCTTTTCTCAGAATAGTTTATGAGTCTTTTAAATTACCTTAGGAATATCCCAGGGGCATCATCAGAATTTCTTGGTGAGTCTTTTGTCCTCTTGTGATGACGGGGAAGCCCTGAGACTGCCTTTGCTATGAAAATACAGACATCTGCTGGGCCTCCTAATTTTTGTTCTTTTTTCAAGGCAGCACCCCCAAGAAACTCTTGGATATTGTGGAGCCTAAGGGGGGGGCGGGGAGGAAATCTTTGTCTTCTAGTTCATTCATCAATTTTCTCCCCCTTCCCAGTACCTTCCTCCCCCAAAACCCCCTCATCCTCAGCACACATCAGCAGTGACTTCCCCAAATACACTAGGACTGCAAAGATTCATGTACAATAATACCCTCCTGACATTCCTATTCCTGCCCTCAGTTTAATCCACTCACTTTTTTTTTTTTAAACAAAATGTAATTACTTGACTGTCAGCCTGGGCTGCACTCTGGGGCTTTTATTCCTTTCAACACAGCTGCGCTCCCAGCTTTGATGCCGCTGTCCACACAGCTTGTCCCAGCCACAGCCTGGCTCTCGGTACTGTAACATTCAAGTGCATATTTATTTTTAAACTGACCTCTCCTAGACTGTACAGTTTAAAGGAGGTCCTGCCAAAAAACATGCTACTTTCTATTTATAAGATGAAACACATGCCTCCCGGAGTCGAGAGGGGGATGGAGTACAATAATTCATAACGAAAAAAAATGACTAGACGGATCCGTGCGTCCTCCAATGTCTGATGCTCGTCTTGTAGCAAGACACCCAGGCTCGAGGAGAAAGAACAGCAGCAAAAAATCTTGAAAATGCTTCAGCTGCTCAGAAACCACCGTGAAAAACAAGAACAACAAAAAACCCCCGCCAACCGCCCGATCTGCAGGTTGGCACCTCAACCACCCCGCGCCCCGTCTCCGCAGCTCCGCGCGGGGCACCCAGCGCGGCCCGGGTGCCAGCCCAGGCGGGAGGGGCGCGCGGCCGCGCGCGGCTGTTCTCGGTTCTCGGCTGGAAAAACGCAGCGCGCGCCCAGAGCGGCTGTCATTAGCTCGGGGGGGGCCGCGACTCCGCGCAGCCCCACCCTGAAAAGTGTGGGCACAAATGATGGAGCCCTGCGTCCCGGCCAGGCCGCCCGAACCCCTCCCGTTTGCTCAGCGCCCCTCTTTGCTCCTCTAGACACCAGTGGGGAAGACGATGCCTCGACAGCCCCGCTCCCCGCGCGTCCCCCAGCCTGGCGCCCCCCACACGCCTGCTGCCCCCCACGACCGCCGGCCGACAGACTCGCGGGCAGGCCGAAGGGAAGGCGCCGCGAGCGGGCAGCAACTCACCGGCACCTTCCAGGGAGTCCAGCAGCTGCCCGGGGCCGGGCGCCCCGCACGACACCTCCCGGGGGCGCACGCCGTCCCCGCGCAGATCTGGCTGGCGCCTCCTCACGGCTTCACCCGCTGCCAAACGGCCGGAAGGTCCTCGAGGCCGCCGGTTTGCAGGCGCAACCCCAAGCAGAGCCCAGCGGCCGCCGCGAGGGAAGGTGCGAACAAGACTGAGCGCGCGGCGGCCGGACGCGGGGACTGAACCTGTGAAGGGCGGGGCCGGCGGGCGGGGCGGGGCCGGCGGGCGGGCGGGCGGGGCGGGGGCACCCGCCGTCCTGCCCACCCACCCGCGCGTACCTGCCGGCCCGGGGCGCCCGCGGGGGTCACCCGCTGCGGGGCCTCCCGGCCCTTGGAGGACAATGGGCGTCCATTGTTACCTCCCCAGCGCCGCCCTCAGGGGGACGGCTGCTCTCGGAGAAGCTCCTTCTCTCGCTCCTTTGGCACAAAGGAAGGTCGCGAGACGCTCGGTTCCCAGAGGGATCCGGGGGTGCAAGCGCCTGTGGGTGCCCGAGGACAAAGGGACTCCACCCGCACCCCAGACACTAACCAGCGCGCGCCCGCCTCTCCAAGCCCACCCAGCCAGCGAGGCCCTGGCGCACGGGCGGGGGCCTTGGAACCGGCCGCTGGACCACCCCGCCCGGGCCCAGCTGCGCGCCCCCTGGCCGCGAGCGGCCGAGGTGCGCGGGCGGGGGTGCAGGTCGGTTTCCAGCTCGCGCCCCTGGGAGCTGCCGCCCAAACCCGGAGAGTGGATTTGGCGCTTCCGAGACGCGGGGGCTCCCGGCCGAGCGCGTGGGCACGCGAACAGCCGACGCTGCAGGTTTTTCCAGTTCAGGGGGAGGCGGTTTCCACTGCTGCGGGGTCCCCAAGAGAGACTCGCCCAAAGCTGGAGCCAGCGGGCGGCGGCTGCCCAGACGCCCGGGAGGCGCGAGGGGCGCAGCTGGCGGCCTGCGAGCGGCACATTCCGCGCTCCGCGGCACCTGCGCCCGCCGGTCATGCCCGCGGCTGCGCCCCACCCTGCGCGGGGGCCGCGCGCGCACCCGGTTAATTAATTTTCTCCCTGCATCGACCTCTCTTCCTCCGCCAGCCGTCTGCCTGGGGAAGGAGTAGGCGACAGGAAAGGGCGGCGTTTTCCGGCGGCGAGGTCCCAGCCGCCAGGTCGACCTGGGGAAGGGGCTGGAACCAGGGCGCGTCAGGCGCTGGGCCCGGAGGCCTCAGGTCGGGTGGAAATCCTGGCACAATACGGCGACTTCCAGGGAACCTTGACTTTTCAGAGCCCTGTCAGCCTGGGTCAGCAGCGCAGAGCGCCTGAGTCTGAATCAGACCTTCCAGAATGAATGCACGTTAAGCCGAAGTTGTGAACCAAGGCCACATGAAGGTGAAATGTAAAGGAAACGGACACTCTGCTCTGGAAGCGAAGTGTTTGGGTGGAGTGTTAAAGCCTCAAAGAAAATAATAGCTGGCAGGTCAAATGGCCATGAGGCTGGAAGTCGAAGTCAAAACTCTGCTGAAGTGCTGTTTTGAGCTCTGACAAGCAAAACAGTCCATGAAGATAAGAGACTGGGCATTATTTCCTTTCTTTAAATGACAAGTGCTCCCAAATTTCCTTTGGCAGATACCTGGATCTTACTCCAGATTCCAGGGAGTTTTACTTGGGGTTCAGATTTCAAAATATATGTTCCATTTGGCACGAATGTATATATTTTATGTATGAATTTATTGAAAAACGTTAAATAGTATTGACCTACCTAGATAAAAGTATTTTTTATAAATATTTATGCATAGCTTTCAGTGCAAATGGTATTTTTACAACACAAGTAGTATGTGTATGTTTATTAAATACCATATGAAAAATTCCTTTTGCATACACAAAGACATTCCTTACACATATGTCTTGTGTGTTAAGTTTTTTTCATTTGCCCTATTGTTAGCTGCTGTTAAAACATTTTATTTCCACATGAGTAGGCAAGTAACTTTTTACAGCTTTGTGTAAATATAGAGTGACAGGTAGTTTGAGGTAGCAACTTTATTTCAAAACCTCATTTTCACATTTTTACAACCTCTCTGACTTTCCAGAGATTTTCCCTCTCTGCCCTTTCTTTATGAGACTGCACTCTGGCCTCTAAACAATTTATCCAGTACCTACCCCTTCAGGGTTCTAGTGATGCTGATTTGATTTTATCCTGGCTTCTTTGAGGCTCCCTGCTATTTATTTTACTTAATATCTTGGTACTGAACAGTGAGTGAAGAAGTGAAGGAGACTGCCCCTATTAAGTGACTTATCCTCCCAAACTGTTAGGGGGAAATGATGTCCTGAGCTAATTTCATACAGGCTTTGTGGACCCCACCCCCACTCCAGACCAAAGTCATCAAGACATTGGGAAAAACAAATCCAGTCACCACCAAAGGGAAGGTGGCTGGGACCTGAGGGTGGAGTTAAGCAGCCAGGTTGGGTATAAAAACCAAACACGTGGGCCTTGGGGTCTCAATTGCTCTGTCGCTGGCCTCCTGGCTTCATGGCTCCTGGCTTGAGGCCAGCTCTCAAAGTGACATTTGGGATTGCAGATCGGCGGATCGGGTAGGATGCATTTAAAACTTTGTCTCCCATTTTTCTCCCTGAGCTGTACATTTCCTCATTTGCCCTTCCCTTGTAAATAAACCTTTTATTAACCTTTCGTGTGTGCCTGCAGTAGAGCATTGATAAGTCCTTTTAAGCGCACGGGTGACACAGTCAGACACTCTGTTTTGTATCGGGGCTGCCCTATAACAAAACGAGTGCATTTCCTATGATGGCTTTTAGGGTTGATAGAGTTTAATTTCAATATGGAAGAGGGAGAAATGCCTTGCTTTAGGGAGATTTTAGAGGTTCTGAGATTCTGCTTTGAATTACAGAAAGGTTTAGCCTTGAAAAATTGCTGGTAACTTTAGAAGCGTCAGTGAAACTAAGAAAGTGGGCATAAGAGAACAGATATTTAATCAGGTTCAATTCAGGCACTAATATCTGCAGAGCAAGCTCCTGTCAGGCCTAAGGGTGGGCTATGTTTTTATTAGTCTCAACTGTGGGAGAAGAGCCAACAAGTGTCAGCAGTACCCTGGCTGACCAGAAACCTGCAATCCACTTTTGGGACAGAGGGCAACATGCCAGTGTATATAAGCAAGTGCTAACTAGAAACATTCTGAGCCTCTTGCCACCAAATATGGTCCTGGAACCAGCAGCACCAAGCCTTGCTCCAGAACTAGTGTATCAGAATCTTCATTTTAATGAAATATGGATGGGTCCTGAGCACATAGGATGTTTGAGAAACATTAATCATGAGTACTGGTTTTCAAACTTTTAAGTCACAGACATTTTAAAATCTAATGGAAGTTACAAACACACTTACTGGGAAAACACAACTTGAATTACACACAAATCCTTTCATACACAATTTCAGGGTTCTCCGGAACACCAATCTGTGGACAGCAGGGAGTCCTAGGTAATAGCCTCCAGTCACAGAGCCAGAAAAGCTACTTAGTGTCAGGACAAGATGCTTACAGGAGGCAGAGCTTAAATTAAGCAGTAAAATATGGGAGAAATTATGGGATAGGAGTAAAGAAGTAAAGTCAGGAGAAATTCTTAGGTAAATGGGCCTAGGAGATAAAACTACAAATACCCATTTTTACATGGTGTTGATGAAACTTGGTGAGATTGTAGTTTGATAGCAAGCTCTCCTTGCAATTCATTATCATTATTAGAACATCCAAAAAATGAAACCGGACTGTGGATTCAGTGGTCCTTCCAAGTGCTGGCCACCAGGAAGCCTGTGACATATGGTTTTATGTAAGACCTCATTTCCCATGATTAGCTCCCCCTCTCACTCACTCTGCCCAGGCCACATGGCCTTCAGGCTTTTCCAGGAACCCAACAGTGCCTAGGGCACTCCATCTGCCTGGGGTCTTCTTCCCCAGATAACAAAGGAATCCTTTAAGGTCTTTATTCAAGTAAGACTTCCTGGGAGAGGTTTTCCTTCTGAAATAGTAGCTCTACCCATATCCCCTATTCCTGTTTAAGCGAGAAAAATTTCATTACCTGATATTCTATCATATTTATTTATGGATTCATTTGTGGTGTGTTTCCTGTAAGGCATGGACTTTGTTTGCTCTCTATCTCTTATACCTCCAGCAGACACATAGTAGGTACTTGATAAATAGTGAAAAAAATGACCCTTTGTCTACAACCAGTAATATGTATAAAAGTCATGTTCACAAACACCAGCTACAGAAATAATAATATATTAAACATTCCTGAAATATACCACACGTATGCCGAGACTGAATTTTCAACCATTTTCCTTTAGTTTAATTGAACAAGAAATACTAAACACATGGAACATTTTAAGTTCTAAAATTCAAACATTTTAAAGTAAGACTTACAAGAAATGTCTTTATAGTCCATGTATAATGCATAACTATTCTCTTCTGGCAAAGCTGAACACACTCATGTGTACTCAGCTGGGGTTTTCCTTCAAAATGCCACATTCAGGCTAAATTCGTGTGGGTATGTTCTCTATTATCCCCCTAAGTTAGATTCAAGGAAAAATGTTAGAGAAACTGGAAGGTTAGAATATTTTGAATGAGAATGTTCTTACAGCTTGAGGATTCCCCTCCTTATTCCCCAATTAGAATTTTACCAGTCCTGGAAATAAAGGTCATCTGTATTTATGAATTTGGTTGAACAAGTGCCAAATACTAAGGAATTTTCCAACCAGCGATTTCCTTGTAAATAATTAAATTCAGGTCACACCTTGGTTAGGGGACTTCAGTTTTGCCCAATGAAATGAGCATTAATTTGTGCACTATGAGGCTGGGTTAGCAGCGAACTCCAGGACTAGCATATAATTCTGAACAGGTTAGATGGTTGTCCATAGTAGCTGCCAAATCCAAAGACTTTCTTGGTGTTTGAATTAACCTTTAAACTCAGCAGCACTAAATTTACTTGTGGCTAAGGCCTTCAGGCATTGATGCATATTTGATCCTGATTGCTGACGGCACCAATGACGAATAAATAGCTTTAATATTTATATGGTCTTCTGTGCTTTAAAAAAATCCTTTTACAGTCATCTATTTCTTTCTCATCTTAAGTTGTTTGTCACTGTTGGATATATGAGACCCTTATGACTGATTTACAC